AACTGGCTTACTATTTTTTTTTATATTTCTCTTTTATTTTTTTTTTTAGTGCACTTAAACTTGGTTTTGATATGAGTAAAACGTTTGCTATAATATGCTATAATTTGCTATAAATTCTTTTATTGGTATAAAAACAGATATATCTGGTTGTCGGTATAAAAGAAGGTACAAAAAATATTATTATTGTTGTTACTTTTTATTATTATTTTTTTTTTAGATTTTCAAATATTTCTGTTTTTTGTTTTTATTAAAAAATGTAATACGCCAAATGCGCTTTGTTTGGAAAATTCTTTGATATTTTTTTCTTTCATTGCGGGTGTTTTGCAGGCGATGTTTTTGGCGAGCCGGAAAAGAATTTCCTTTTTAAATACTTTAAAACTTCTTTGAAAATAAATTACTAAAATTATATTGAACTTTTAAATTAAAATTATTTAATTTTAAAATTTAGTTCTTTTTAAAATTTAATTTATTAATTTTTCATTAAACCTTCCAGTTCGTGGTTATGATTATTCTTTAATTTAATTAACTCCAAATTTTTAGCAAAGATCTGTTATTAATTAAGAGAATAACTGCCGTATATTTTGTTAACAATTGATATTCTTGAAGGCAGTAGTCTTCTTTGGAAACTTCAAAAAATTCACTCTCTTTAATCTATGCTAAAACTATCCAAGAATATGTCTTCGAAATTTCGGTTTCCAATTCGACGGAAATACTTTAGAAGCTAGAGCAGTTTTAGCGGTCAAGCGTTGATCAGGTTTGACTACTCGAGCAAGACTTCGAAACGCGTTTTATCGAGTTTTCATTCTTACAAAGTCTTAGAAACCGGTGCCGGTGACAGCATAATAGCATTGTTTACTATTTGAATAAAAAAAAAACTTTTTTTTTTGCAACTTCAAGTGAATTTTTTTTGTTTTTGTTTTCAAAAAGTGAATTTTTTTCCAAACTTCGAAAAAATGTGGAATTTTCCAACTTCTCTGGTATTTTTTAGGCCATATAGAAGAGGCACTCCTAAATATTAAAAAAAATTGTTTCGACTCATTCAAATGCATCGACCTTCATGACCGGCACCGTTTCACAAGTTCAGATTGCAGCCGCTTCAGAAAACTCATGATAACATTGGAAAATTTCATTATTTTTTAATACTAAAAAATGAGCTCAAATATAGTACATAGTTGGCGAAATTTTTAAAAGAGCATTAAGGCCCGGCGAAATGAGAAATATGAAAAAATCTCTTATTGTAATTTACTCCTAAAGCTTTTACAAAGAAATTGCTATAGAAATCTATTTAAAACTTTAAGTCGCCAGCAAATATTGAATCGCCCTTGAGGGTGCGTTAAAATTCGCGAGCCAAAACTGATTAATAAAATACGACTTGTTTTGAAAAGAGCACCTCAGCACAGTGTTGCAACCCAAAACTTCTTCAGAAAATGAACTTTTGCTACTAAATAACAATGTTTCAAAGAAGATTATTGCCGCCCTAGATCCAAAAAAAATCTCCCAGACTCGATCACGGATACTAAAATAACTGCCAATCATTACTCTCGCCTTTCTTGCAAAGCTTTTCAGTGGCATATGAAAGCTAGAATATTATCCACAAATATGGAAAAGTTCGCGTGCAATTATGGAAGCTAAAGCAGATAAAGACGCCATCCTTATATAGACTAATAAAATTTGAAAATAAACGATTTTAGAATAATGCAACTATTTGTTTCCCTGAAGCTCTAGAAAGAAAGAATTCAATGGCAGAGTTTTAAGGCAAATCATTAAATTTTGATGAAATAATCAAAGTCCGTTCAATACATACAAAAAATTTTTATTTGAAAAAAATTAATTTCACTTTCAGTTTTTAATAAAAAATATGGCTTGACATACATATGTATGGACGCTTCATATAAGAGTTGAAAAATGTTTTTTTTTTTCAATAATGCCAATAAATTAAATTCACAGTACGGGGTAAAAAATAAATAATAAAACATTTAGTTATTTATTTAAGAAATTTATTTCAGTTTTATTCATAAGTATAATTATTTTTACAAATTAACTGAAATTAAAATTGCAATAAATTATAAATTAAAAATAATAATTTTTTTGTTACATTTTGTTATATAAAAAGGGATACTGTTAACCGCCAATTTAGGTTATAAAAATTTATGTATAATAATAAAAAATAATTTATTTAATTTAATATATCGACATTTTACCTCAAAATAATTAATGAATATTTTCATAGCTAAAAATTAGTTATAGATCAGTCCAATTTTTTTTCTTTCTTCTTCTTTCTACAATAAAATTTAAATGAATTAATACAAAAACTTTTAACAAACAATTAATAAAGTGTTTTAAACTACCATACATATTTTTTTATCTAGCTGAAGGAAGAATTTTTCTTATTGAATTGGTAATAATTACCATGGTACTTTAAAACACTTTATTAATAGGTTGTTAACAATTTTTGTATTAATTCATTTAAATTTTATTGTAGAAAGAAGAGGAAAGAAAAAAAAATTGGACTGATATAAAACTAATTTTTAGCTATGAAAATATTCATTAATTATTTTGAGGAAAAATGTCGATATATTAAATTAAATAAATTATTTTTTATTATTATACATAAATTTTTATAACTTAAATTGGCGGTTAACAGTATCTCTTTTTAATGGTAATGGAATAAATAAAAAAATTCAAAATTTAAGTTGTAATAATTTTAATTATTATAATACGAGTTTTATTAAATGTAAAAAGTTGTAATAATCAAAGTATTATCATATATCAAAGAATAAAATATTTGTATAATTATTTATTTATTTGAAAACAATGAATTAAAGAAGGAAAATATTTTATTTTTTTTTTATTTCAATTTTATTGCACAAAGCACTTGCTTCCCAATTAAAAAAAAATATTTAAAACAAGAAGGGATACAAAAATATTAATTTAATTAATTTAAATATTTAATTTTTAATATAAACGCAATTTTATTTTGGCTTTTCAATTTTTTTAATCATTGTTTGCACATAATGCTGGTTTTATAATTAAAAATAATAATTAAAACAAGAAGGTGTACAAAAACATTTTTAATACTCATTTTCTTTGGCTTTTTAAGGCTTTCATAATTTTTATTATGATTTTTTTTTAATAAATAAAGATTTTATATGTAATATTTGAAATATTTCACATTATTAACTTTTTAAAACATATTTTATATGAATTTTTGCAAACCTATTTTTTTTAAATAAAGATTTATTTAACTTATTTTAAAACTTCTAAAGCAAATTTGGAATAATTTTTTATAAGTTTTTCAAATTCATTTATCTAATAAAATACGGATTTATTTGAAAATGTCTAAATATTTTCATTACTATTTAATTTTAATTTAAATAATTTTTAAAAATAATAATAATTAAGAATTTCTAAAAAAATTTATTATAACAAAAAAAGCTTACGAGTATTTTAAAAATATTTAAATTATTATTTAATTTTTTATTGCTTCAATATTTTTTTAAACAAAATTCCATATAATTTTTTATATAAAAAATAGATTTTTTTTAAGATTTTTGACCTAAGTCTTTTTTTCAATGACTTTTTAAATAATATTTAACAATAATAGTAATAAATTTCTATGAATTTTTTAAAATTGTTTTTACAGAATGAAAAAAGATTTTATTTTTAATTTTTAAAACTTGTAATTAACTTTTTTTATTTCAGTAATATCTAAATAATATTTTTTAAAAATTTTTTAAAATATATATTTTTTTGTAATAAAATAAAGAGTAAAAAGGAATTATTCTAAAATTTATTAAAAAATTTAATAATTTTTTTGTGTCAATATTTTTTTTAAACAAAACTCCTTATTAATTTTTTATATAATAAAATAAATATTTTTTTTAAGTTTTAAATATTTTCTTTATATAATACTTCAAAGACATTTTAAATAAAATTAAATAATATTATTAATAGCTTTTTATAAATTTTTTTTTATTTAAATAATATAAAAACACTTATTTCAAAATTTATTTCATTTTTTAATTAATTTTGGTTTATTTTAGTAGTATTTAAATAATATTTCTTTATGAATTTTTTTAAATATTTCATTTTTTTTTGTAATTAAATAAAGAATAAAAGGGAATTATTCTAAAACAATATTAAAAATTTTAATTAATTAATTTAATTTTATTTTAGTAATGTTTGTTTATTATTTCTATAATTTTTTTTTAATAAAATAAAGATTAATTTTAATATTTTTAATAAATTTTAATTAAAATCGTAACATTTCAATTACATTTTAAGCAATATTTTTAGATATGTTTCAAACAAAGATTTTTCTCAAAACATTTTAAAATTTCCAATTAATTTCATTATTTTTCAATGACTTTTCAATTAATGTTTTGTATGAATTTTCTCAACGAAAAAATATTTATATCATTAATTGTCTTATCAAAATATTACACTTTTCTCCATTTTCTTGTCTCTTTTGCACAGACACCAAAACACCGCCTGCCACAAAAACACTTGGCTTATTTTTTAACAAATATTTTATATGCAACTTGGTCGGCACATACAATGTTTCATTAAAATTACCGCTAGTTACACATATATAAATATATTAATGAAACATTTATTGGCTAAAGCTTACTAATTTATTTTCCTCAATAAAAAAACAACACCTCCTCAGCCACTTAATATTGTTAATTTGAATTTCCATGGCCAATGAGGTCCTTTTTACTACTACAAAACTAACATTTAGGCACCAATTGAATATTTTTCATCATCAATCATCAACGTTAACATCGTCAACCACTTAACACTCACTAATTATTGAATTTTTCAATTTTTTTTTCTTTGTTGCTTTTCACTTACAACTAATTTTAAATTTTCATTTACTCGTAGGTATGTGTGTATGTGTTAATGTTTGTTCATTATCGTTAAAACTTTATATTAATTTAATATATATTAGATGTGTATGGCTCTGGGGGTGTGTTTGTGTGTGTGTGTGTGTGTGTGTGCGTTAAGTGCACACGCTCAAATATTAATATGCAAAATCTTGAAGCAGTACTTTAGAACGACGCATTTCCTACAACAATAATAACAACAACAACAGCTATGGCACATTGTTGTAATAATCCCTTAACGCTCGTAAGCAACTCGAAGTCCTTGCAATTCATCCTTGACAGCTTCGCAAACTCATTGCCAAACAAAATGTGTGAAAGTACATATTTTTTTTGTATGTATGCATGTATGTGTGCTTGTGTGTTTGTGTGCATGTGTGGGTATATGTATATGTGAATTTCTTCCGTACTCTGTTATGTTTACATTGTTGTCGCTGCGTTGCAGTCTTACAACCGCGTGACTGCGCTGCGTAAATCATCCATTTCTACAGCTATCCTTCGCAGTTATATCCTTCTAATACCTTCAATGGTCGCTCATCAAATAAACGCTTTCCTTCACCTGACCTCAGCCGTCGCTCGAAGCTTCATTGACTTTCAATCTCACCACAGCAAGTACTGCGCCAACAACTCAACCAACCCCGACCCGACCTGCGGCCAACATTAGCACCGTACTCAAGCTCATACCTCTTTGACACCGCCGCCTCCGTCACCTCCGTCACCACCGACTCTTCGCCACCACAAAAACACATTCAGAAACAATGGCTTCGACGCTTAGAAACCGTATCCTACGACGATTTCTTGCCACTGCCACCACTAATGCCCGCACCTTTGGGTGTGCGCGACTTTTTCAACAGGAAGCACGTCAAAAACTCAATGGATGATGTCGGTTTCTGCAAACTCTCGTCCGATGACGAATTGGCGCCCTCCATGCACTTGGCATGCAAACGATAACTGCCCTCAGTAGATTTCTCCTTGGCCGCCAATGCGGCCGACGTTTGCTCATCACCGCGTCGATAATAGTTCTTGCAGCATTTCTTTGACAAATTATACATTTGCACCGTATTGTCGATGGTATCGCCACCATCAACACCACCACCACCACTGCCCTTGGCGCCGCCATCATCATCATTCGAATTCAGCAATGAAGTATACTTTTGGCGACTGGCAGCAGCAGACGTGCTAGCGCCACTGCCATAACGATCTGTGTACGCATTATCTGCGCTGCTGCCATCTAAGGCAACACCACGGCCACCACCATTGCCAGCCTCATCGGTGGCGTCTGTCTCATCGCCCTCCGCTGTGGTGCTTAGATTGTTTTGTTGTTCGAAGACGAATTTATGCGAGCGCCAGCGTTGTGAGCGCTCATGCTCCATCCAATCGGTGCTGGCGGGCAGGCTCAGTTGGATGGTGGGTGTGCGGTAGTACTGGCGATGCGGATGGAAGCCCAGTCCGAAGTCGTCCATGTACGACTGGGAGTTGATGTTATCGAGCTCATCGGCGACGCTCAACAAAAACGGAAGTGTTGACATTTTTAAGCGTCGGTTGTTATCGTCGCTGCCGTCGTTGTTGCTTGCGTTGGGGTTGTAGGCGCTTTTCCTGCTGCTGCTTATGTTGGTTTTGCTGGCTGGCTCTGTTGCCTGCTAACACAATAGAGCCAGAGCCTGGTGTGCACAATTCCGTTTCGGAAATTGTTATTTGTGTGTTCAAAATTTGTATTTACTTTGTGAGCTATTTGCAAGTATTCAAAACATTTTCATTAATGCGAAGGAAATTTAATTGGCCTCAACGAAGGCTGATTTCTTCAGGACCCAACTAACTTTTCTAAAATTCAGCAAACTTCATTCAAATATTTTCCCACATAGAGGAATTTTTCAAACACTTTTTCAATATTTTTCACAATTTTTCAGTCATTTGCTTTCCCAAAAAAAAGAAAACTTTTCCAGGAGAAAACTTTTGTCTGTATCCGTAATAAGATTTGCACTATTTTCTATTTTCCTCCTGCCACACATTAGTTTTTGTTATTGTTTTTATACAACATTCGCGGTGTTGCTTTTGTTATTGTATACAGTTTGTTCGTTATGTATTTCAGTTTGGTTTCACTTTAAGATTTTTTGTTTAATTTGAAAGTTTTTTTTCGTATTTTTGTATGCTATTAACTTCAGCTACTTTGCTTGCCTAGATGTTGTTGTTTCTACATTTTCCTCCTTTGCGCTCTCCGCCTGCAGTCTTGCTTCGGCTTGTCAGCTTAGTGCAGCAAGTGCTGTTGTTTTTTGCCCTAGTACTTTGTTGTTTTGAATGCCAGTAATTTTAACTGCCCTTTAATCCGTTGCCTCGAACTGCACTCGTTCGTTGGTTGCCACAAACTGAAAGTTGCCACAAACGTTTTGCTTCAGCCCAATATGTGGCGCAAGCTTCACACGACACACGAAACTCCTTCGTAAATGCACGAAGCGACGAGCAGTCGTGTCGTTTGGCATTGCGGATTATACTCCTGTGAGAAAAACGCGATTGCAATGATTTTTCGTAAACAAAAACTTGAGAACTTCGTGGGGAGGTGCCTCGTTTGCCTACTAAACAATGTTTTCGAATGCCGCACACATCACAAATCACAAATATTTCATTCAACCAAAAGCGATATTCAAATTTTTTAAAATAAAAAAAAAGCTATGTCTCCAAGAAGCTGAGCTTTGTAGGCCTTTGATGAATATTTCCTGCTTTCTTCTGCTTTACTGGCGTAGAGACACCGCTTACGCGAGTATAACGAAGTTAGCAACAGCGCGTCATTCATACCTCATTTTCGCTGTCTGGCGGCGTTTGGAGATACAAAGTACAATCAGGTCCTCCTACACCTGGTCTTTCCAACAACTGCATCGTTGCTGTCTCTTTATTCGCTTAACTATGTCAATATCACTGCAAATCTCGTACAACTATTAGTCGCGAGAGGATCACAAAACTTGCGCAAGACCTTTCTAGCAGAACGGGAAAGATGAGCGAGTTATAGAATTGGTTTTTCGTTCGTCGAGAGCAGACTTTACTTTTCAATTGCCTACTCAACCCAAAGTAACACATTGTTCCAAGATAGACGAATTTATCCACGACTTCAAAGTTATGACTGTCAACAGTGCCGTGTGAACCGAGTTGTGATTGCGATGACTGTTTGTGTACGAGGACAGGAGGTATGTCGCCAGGCCCATACTCTTTGTTTCTATATCAAGTGCGGCGAATAAAGATCTCACTGCGCGGTTCTTGGGGTCAATAATGTCAATATCATGAGCTTACCTCACAGCTGTACGCTTTTATAGAAGATTACACCTTCTCTATTCAGCTCTGCAACTCACATTATCTTCTTCTTTTGTATTGAAAGGCTCAGAGAAGTCCTCCCGATCGTGCTGGAGCCTTCGGTATTGCTTAATACCATATAGAGATACCAAATGCAGACATAACGGCGTAAATGCGGCCGCTTTTAGGGGTTTCGTGCTGCCGAAGACTGTTTTAAAGTTGGGTCTAAAGCCACACTAATGATGTGCAATCAGTTTTTTTCAAAATACCTTTTAATCGTTCACATAATAGGCTTTATAGAACCTTATATTGCGGAGATTTATCCCATAGTAGTTGGCGCGAATTGTGGGATCGTTTTTTTAGGCGCCAATCATAGGATATGCCTTCGTCTGACCATATTCTCCAAAGAAGTTGATGCATACGCAGTGTCAGTTCCTCGTGTTCCTTTATACACCAAGCATGATCTGTACATCGGTCTCCAGATTTCCACATAGATTCCTACGAGAGTATGCCCCGGTCTGTAAAACTTTGTCGGACAGCTTCTCTAGCCCTTCATACCTCCATATTTTTGCTTGCAAATGCGTCTCGCTCTCCGCTTCAATTTTTCCTCGAGAGGTGCTAGATCTCCACTTGTATTGTGGTCGATCGCAGTGTTGCAAAGTAGGTAGTAAGTTTTCTCTCCATTGCTGCTTGACACCGCCTGAGCTGTTCTTTTGATCTTCCCTTAAACTTGCAATTTTTTTTGCTCAACTACGGGAAATGATTATGAAGAGATCGTAAAAATTTTTATAAGAAACTTTAAGTACCTACCTTTTGATATTTTTTGATTCAAAATTTTTAGAAGTGACCGTTATCCATCAAGAGGAAAATTTGTCGTTATTTTTTTTCCATCCACGAGCTTGGAAAATTTGTATACTGTCTAACTACTACATAGACTCGCCTGCTTATTCACTTTTAATTTTTTATCTTTAGATTTTCTCTGCAATGATTTGCGCCGAAGACATCCTCTTTTGAATACAAAATGATCCTTTGGGCTTTAATAATATATCTGCAAACAGTTATCGAGCAGAAAATTACTGACCAGTTCTGACATTTGGAACGAACCCCCATCAATGTTATTTCACCTCTTTCGAAAAGCAAAAATTTAAATGAAAGTCTAATGTGAAAATGTGGTGGCTTCGGAAAAAGCAGCTCCAACTTCTACCTGGCAAACTGTTGCTGCAATTTTTTCACTAGGCCAAAAAAGAATCTATATAGTTTTCAGAAAAGTGAAAAATTCAAGTTTTTCTTTAAACTAGTCACAGTCACAGCAAAAATAATGTTGAGAAGAATCCATTTTTAAATTTGCTATCTACCCATTTCCTTGAAATGTCGATAAACAGCTTAATTTATATCAATTTCTAATTAGAGCTTTCCTTAATTAAAGTTTTTCTTTTCGTTCTGGACACTACAAATATAGACATTCCAGTATTTGATATTAATTTAATGGGACGCACAATAGAAAAAAAGCGTGAAGGGTATGAAATACTATTTAAAATCAACTGCAAACGAAAAACATCTGTAGCACTATACATACACACATACATATTTTACAATTACACATTTAATTTACACTCTCCAGCGCCTAAAAGTATACTACTCGCACTGTTCACACTGGCTCTCTGGGTTTTAGCTCTCATTTCGAACTGATTTTTTCAAACCGAACCTTGGTTTTTCACACACGCGCTTACTCGCTATTTTCATATTTTTTAATAATATTAGGAAACACATGTATACATAAGTACTCAACCGCCCACTCGCAGCCTCGCATCGGCAGCGCTTCAGTACAGTTAATTTGATACAAACGGTGCACACGAGCGTATACGTTACTTGCCTCGCGTAGGGCTCTCTGGAGAGAACTTTGTTTGTCACTCAATTTAAACAAATTCTCCACTCTCTTGCTCGCTCGCTCTCGCTCTCTGTGTGTGTGTGTGTGTCGCTCTCATGCCACATCGTATGCTCAACTTCGCGTTGCATGTGAAGAAAACGTGTCCAGTAGCGAATGCGTTTCACTGCAACACCATTCTGCAGATTCATTAATTGCAACACGATTGGGACTAACCGTGTACATACACGTATGTACATACATACATACATATGTAGTAGTAGTAGCTAAAGCAGTGCGCCTCGCTCATGGACAAACGCTGGCGGGATGTCGCGGAGGATTGTTTTGGTTTTTGCTGCAGCCGCAACAAAGGTGCGGCGCATTGGCGGGAAGCGCGTGACTGAAGGACGTTGAGACGTGGGGGTCACCACCGACTGTTTATATGTGAGTAACATGCGCGGTTGGCGGACGGGAGGTTGTCGCAGGAGGGCAACGCTAGTAATAAGGGCGAGTGCACGAAAACTATTATGTATACTGAGCATGGTGTGCGTGACTGTTTGCTAGTATGTGTGTGTGTGTGAACATTTTTCCCATGAATGCACGATTGCGATGTGTGAAAAAGTAAGTCAAAGCAAATACGAATGCACATGCAACGTATGTATGTATATTTACTTTATGAACTTTTGATGAATACACGTTTTCGTCCAAAGATATTTACATAGGTATGTGCACAAGTATATGTGAAATGTGAAATGTGTGTAATCGTATACTTTAATGCATTGAAGTCCACACATCTGAATTTTCAATATTCTGCTTTGAATTTTTTTCAATTTCAATTTATTTAAGCCCAAAATATTAAATCGAAGAATTCAGCTGAGGACAACTATTTCGCCTTTATATACGAATATACATATACAGGGCGGTCACAATACCCGGATGGTTCATATTCTGGTCCGACCAAAAAATCCAAATTTATAGAAAATAAATTTTTCAATGTGATTGTCCCTCGGCGGGAACTGTAAAGCACTTCGAGTATATTTCGGACATGAAAATCAAAGCTCCTTATAAAAATCCATCGGTCATTCAGAGGCGGCTTAGAATAAACTATAAGTACCTCCACTTGTTGGAAAAACTTCATAAATTTGATGGGGAGATCGCACGAAAATCTCTACAGCGGCCACGCAGTGCTCATGATACATATATATAAGGATAGCCAATTCGTTGTTTCAAAAGTAAGGGCTGAATTTTGACATCTGGCAAACTTAACTGTCAAACCAAACATGTTTTGTTTTAGCTAAAGGCCAAGCATTTACGAAAATGCAGCGCTTAATAACCACACAATGCGCTAAAACTGTAGAAACCTGGCACATAAATGAGGATTTAAACTTGTCCACGCTTCGTGGTTTAAGAGAAGATTATGGTGCACCACATAATGGTCTAACTACTGAGGTAATTGGTAAAATTTTTAAGAAATTTTAAGAGACTGGATCATTAAAAGATATAGTAAGGCCTGCGCATAATCGTTTTGTTCGATTCACCGCGAGTGAAAGTGTAGAAATGAAGACCCGAACGTGTCATCTTCTCAATGTTCTCAAGAGCTGAGGCTTTCTTAAATCACATTTTGGCGTATTTTGAACTTGGACTTACACCTACATCCATACGAAGCCCAGCTGACAGAAAAACTGAAGCCAACTGACCATTTACAATTCCGTTCATACGAGTACGTCGACTGGGTGCCTGAACAATCAGCAGCGGACGGC